ACAAAYACCCATGCTATTGTTTTAAAACCTCATCAATTTTTGTATATTCCATTCTTCTAATTCTCAGTCACATGGTGCTTTTATACGATATACTCATTGTGATCTCTGTCTCTTACACACACCCACACATGCATTTCGCACATGCACATACAGTGTTGTAGCAGGTTTTTGCAGCCATAATTATTGAACAGCATAAACCATAAGTGATAGCATTAGTCATAGCATTAGTTATACAGATTATGGCTTGCAAGACTCGGACATAAAAAGCAAATGATAATATACAGGTTTGTATTTCATACCTCTCCGGCAGTCACAGAAATAACATGAGGTGTTAAACCTTGTCTGTGTTCCCTGAATAAACAGACACAGAAATCACATTACAAGTATTCAGTCATGACAGATTATATACATGAAAAACATGAGYGGRGTTGTGTTTTATTTGAACAAAACATAATTAGAAATCTGAAGAAAATCATGTGATGCTCCAACGACAAAGCAGTAAAATAACCATCTAAATTCCAATTCAAATCATTAGAAATAGAATCGTAACGAATAAAAAACCTTCACTTAGTAGRGTACAGCTAGAACATAACGCACGGTGCACGTCTAGCGGTCAATCTGGCATACGGTTTGGTTCCATTGACATCAATTTAGCTTGAATGCTCTAGATTTGTTTTCCTYTTTAAATATATAATATTTATATACACAACAAAACTCACACAATCCTCAACTTTAGAAAGTTGACTTAATGGAAAGTTCAGCTCTACCAGATACCATTAATGGGTCATTGACACTTTGRTTGCTCTRGATTTGTTTGATTCATGTTTTTGCATGAAACCTATATCTAATTGAGCTAAAGGTGCCATTGAAAAGGATTAAAGAAAAGAAAAAACAACGTTATAACATAGGCACATTCTCATCAAGCCTGCACCATGCAAGGATTATTGGTGCAGGCTCTCGAATCCATGGGCTAATACAAAGAACTATTTTAATTGTAGGTTGTGGAAAAGGCATATGACATTCAAGGTCAAAGGGCCTAATCTTTTAGCTTTGAAATGTATAAAGAGGCCTCAAATCTTCAAGATAAGTTAAATAATCAACTAAAAAGGTCACAAGTTTGACCTCAAAAGTCAAAATGCACATCTTTTTTGGTTGATGAAGACTGAAGTAAACAGAAYCCTAAACAGAACCCTAAACATAACACCATCAAAGGGCTTGAATCGACTTAACGAAGATTAAGATGACTAAATAAATAAACAAGTTGTAGCAGGTTTTTGCAACTACAATTTAGAACACCTGACTATGATGTTTGATATGGTTAATACTTACAGAATGTTGTTTAATGGTTGAAGGTTTTTCAGTTATGTGCCAACCAACAAGGGTACAAAAATCATTTAATTGACTTGAACYACTGTTTTTATAAACAGGCCTAACAAGGAAAAACCAAGACAACGGCTTAACATGCCACATTGAGAAAAACAAACTGTATTGGTGCACTTTTGTAAACCCTTTGAATGTGATAAAATTTTAGACCATTCTAAGCTATGTAAAAAAACTAACCCTTCGAGAGACGTTGTTCTTATAGCTCCTGAAATTATATTTTGGAATATCCACTGCTTCCCCATGCTTCAACATCTCCATAGCTGACAATAACTTATCATTATCGAAAGCATCTGAAAAAACAAATAGGGAAGTATCATAAGAAGCATGAAAACAAATTTCAATTTWGAAAGATTAAAACAAATTAGTCCACCAAAAGAGATTATGGTTAACGGCATATGTCAAAATACCAAAGCTTTATGACAAAAAAAGATAATCGGGAGGTCCTCTGAAAGATTTGGGGTTGCAAATGATGYMTGTCTATCAAAAAGAAGATGGATGATCCCTTTTTACTTCAAAATTATTAGGAAAATAGCCRGTTTAAATAACAAAACTTGCCAGGATGATCAAAGTTGTACTCATGAACCCTTGTAAGTTCTTCAGCAGTCAAATTATGATAGAATGAGTCCTGTCAACACACCCATAGATTCCTATGTGTTAGATAACCAACTTTAGTGGGATCAAAATATAATAGAACAGAGAGCCCTATTGATAGACAAAAGGGCAGATTAACAAGATTATAAAAAAATGCAAGAGAAAAGGGGATATCATCTAAACAAGGCCTTTTGYATACTCTATACATTAATTCTTAAATTGTCAATGAAGGAGAGATTAAAGATACCTGGTTGACAAGTACAACACGCTGATCATGAAGCTGCTCAATGATCATATCACAAACTGTTGTCTTCCCTGAAGCTGCACCTCTAGCAACCCCTGTATTTTTGTCGGATCATTAATAATAAGAACACATCATCATAAAGAATAACATGTATGAAAATCTCAAACCTTCCAAAAAGAAAAGGAGAACGTACATGCAAAGGATACACACACAGAGCATTTTGTATGACAAAGAAGATAGATCTTATCTATCTCAGCCAATACTCATTCCCTAGCAAAACCTTGTCTAACTTGGTTATGCATCATAATAAGAAAATGAGATTAAACTGAAGCTTTAGTTATTGCCTTCAGGAATTATTCTAAAGCAATCTAATTTCGAACTTTGAGCAACATACTTCACCAACATAATTCTTGGTTCTACAGAAACCATACACATAATTCTAATAACATGGACAATAAACCCAAACGGAACAGAAGTTGCCAAAGCCAATCCTTTAACTAAAGGGTTGGGTTCCAATGTGAATAAGAATTATAGTGAGAAGGTGAGAACAAAACATTCATATACTTCATCCACATTCAACTACTTCTAGTTACCTTTTTGTATCATCATGACCAAAGGCTCAAAAGTGTTCTCGCCGTTCTCACCATAGCTCTTATTCTCACACGATCCTTCATCTTTAACTAAATATGTCAAAACCAAAATAGTATAAAAGTGAAAATCTACAAAAATGAAAAGATTAGTGCATGGACATAACCCCAATACTTGAAAAGTTATTAAAACCGAATGAGGGTCAAAATCAACAAAAAACAGAAAAGTTTATGGATGACTTTAGAACCTCAAAATCAAACAAGTAGGGAAATGAACAACTTCAAAAGTCAAAATGATTCATCAAAAAACTATAATGGCCGTTTACCAAATACTTAACCAGTAAGTGCTTACCGGTAAAATTTAACACTACTATTTATTTACCAAGTAAGATTTTAGTCCGCCAAAACGACATCGCATATAACAATTTACCCGGTAAGCGCTTACCGTGGTAAAAATCGTCGCCCTCCCTTACCGGGTAAGATTATTGGTCCTTACAATATTCATCCGGTAAGATAATGTGACTTGGTAAGCGCTTATCCGGGTAAGCGTTTGGTAAACGGTCCCTAACAGTTGTTTATTTCACCCTTATTCCAGATAAATGTCTAATTCACACAGGGCTTAGTGAAAACAAAAAAGAAAAACAAACATTCACTCGGTCTCATGGAAGCTTCAKAAATGATGTCACATGCATCAGGTCATAAGGCCACATGCAGATTGGTAAAAATGCTTATAAACATATCACAAAACCATYTGCATTTAGAATCCYAYTATTCAGATAAGAGGCTACTATACTGAAAATGAAGTAGCAACACTACAGGGATAAAATGTGAAATTCTTACCAACTCATTGGACATAAAGCAAATTCATGCAAAAGAAAGTAGATCAATAAAATTGCAACATATACAAGTTATACAGCATATTAAAATATGTATGTAGCAAAGGAAAAACTTCCATGATCCCTACACTTTGAAATCAATCCAATAGATAGTAAAATGAAAAAGAACAAATCTATGGCAACAATAACTGACCAATTTCTTCCCCTTTTCTGAGAGAGTGCATAATTGGTAAGAGTTGATTATAGGCAAAACAATGATGGTGAGTTTGTTTGTTGCCACATGTTTGCCCAGTAAARAACACAGAACTTCAGCCACTCACCAATAAGATATAGTCTTCAACATCAAGGCCAAACTCTGAAGCATTCACTGCATGAACCATCAAAAGCAATAGCACTAATCATGTGCTTGTAAAGCACACATTAAGAAAAAGAGCGAGAGAGGGAGACATGGGGGATTAGCAGTATATATAATAGCCTCTCAAAAGTTAAKTAAAGTTTAGGTATGTACATAGTTAAAGGACCACTTTGAATACCAGATGAGACCCAAGTAAACAATCCCTAATTCCTATGATTGAACTAATTTCGTATTCAATCATATCATGATCTCAGAATCAACGGTGGTTCTAAGTGAAATTTTGACCTAAATTTGGAGAGATGCTCGATCTTCGACGATCATGATCTCGAGAAGCATTCTTCTTCAAGACGCCATTGTTAGTACAGTCACCTGGACACCAAGAGATCGAATTGGGTTGGAATCGATTTCATCAAAATCTCTGTTCATGAAATCGATTTTGTTTATAGGATATGGATGGCGATAAAAAGGGATTGGGTTTAGGAATAGGGTTACCGATAAAAATGGGATTGGGTTTAGGGATAAGCAGATCGGGGATGGCAGGGGTTCAGGGATAGGGATTGGGTTTAGGGATACGGATGGAGGGGTTTTAGGTATGATATGCTTTAGTAGGTTGTACCTAAAGCAATAGAGGTTGTTTTTAAGAGTTTAAGAGTTTTAAGAGATTTAGCCAAATGCTTTATAAGATAGTATAGATTAATGGGTATGACAGATCTGTCCGAATATATTTTTTATTGTTCATATTCATCTGTTAATTTTAACAAGTCAGTCCAAATCTGTCTATTTTTCAAAAAATAATAAACCTATTTTTAAATACATCAAATATGACGGATCTAACAGATCATCCAACCAGGAATAACTCTACTTTCCTTGTCAAACGATGCTAAACCCTAAACTACACACCATCCCAAGCCTCAAGGAAGAGGATTGAAGGGACAGAAGAGTCCATTAAAAGCAAAATGGCGGGAAAAATGAAAAGGGGGTTTTATCCCATGCTTCTCCGTAACCGTACGACCGCTGCTCTCCACTCTTCCTTGCCCAGAAGGAAAACATAAAAGGGGTAGGTTTTCGCTCTTCATCCTCATCAATGGCGCCGACCAAGCGTAAGAGCGACGGCAAACCTTCCCAAAATCTCCAGACAACCAGAGTCACTCGTAGCTCCACACGCCAGGGGACTACCAAGGTGGTGCTTACTGAGACGTCTCCCAAGACCAAGAAAGCGAAACTCAGCTCGAAAGATAAGGTAGAATCGAAACCAAAAACAACAGAAGAACCGGTATTTGAGGGTGTTGATGGTTCCAAAACTATTGTGATTGAACACTGGTATGTTTATCGTCCTTCACTTTGGCCTTCCCCCCTTTTTTGTTGCCTGTTTTTGTTCAGAATCAGGGACATGGTTTTGAGTATTTGATTATGAGTACAAGACAGTTTATAGTTATCATAAAAGAAGCCACATAAAGAGAAATTACAGGTATAGAATCAAGATAATGTGAAATTATAGACGAAATCTAAAGGACCATAAATTGAATAGGTTTTATGCGCAGCCGCCCTAGGTCGGCCGGTGAGAATCCTCCTGGCGATGTGACGGTGATTGCACCAACCACGAGTCCTCGTCGCGATTCTGTTGCCTATTTAGTAACAAGTTTTCGTGTTCAACTCTGGCAGTGGTAGCATCGTTCAAGGTTGTAAATTTTTTTATGCTAAGACGGACAATGCCACTGGTGGCACGGGATCCGCCCGAGTTCTCCCATCTTGGTCTACTTTCAGATGAACCACTAATGGTGCTTTTGCAAATGTTGGGTGACCATTCAAGATGTTGGAACCAGTAAAACACACATACACTTTTAGCCTTAAGTCCACTAATTGTTATCTCTTACTCTATTCATTTGGCATAAGTTTCTTAACCCTTATGCAATGATGCATCTGCCTCAAGGTGAAACACTTAGCATGCCATGTTTATTGGGTCATACCATCCTACACTATGCAAAACAAAAGGCTTTAAGTAGCATATTTGCATGTATTATAAACAACCAGTTCAGTTTTTATTTCTTATATATAGAAATCCAGTAAATTGGTCAAGTTTGTGATGTATCATCTTTTCATCGTCTAAATCTCTTACATGCTTATCCATGAAGGCGACACATGGAAACACACACTTCTTTTGTTTTGAATCTTACTTGTATAACCTTTACATCTCAGCAAACAATGCAATCAATTTAAAATAAGAGCTGTAAAGGTGAAGCTTGGTTTGGAAAATGCTGTATCTGGCATTACTGTGCTCATCAACCCAGAAAAGGTATTTCTAGTGATACACACACATATATAACATTATATTTCTCTTGAATTTTCTACATTCATTCCGTTATGCCTTAAGTCAGCACAATGTGTTGTCTTTTTATGTTTTCTTGAAACAAAATATATGTAATTGGACCCTAAGCTGGTTGATTTATCTCTTCTCAGGTAAAGGGTGAAGAGAATCAAAAGGGCTGTAGTTTAGTGTATCATATAGATTTTAGTGTATCCATTCTCCAGGTCTAAGCAGATACCATTTTAATATTTGTTTGTATTCTCCTAGACCGAGCAAATGGTTTGGCAAACGTAGTTGACCAAGTTCTTTTCATACTTGGGGTTGATATTGCATAAAAATGTAGATGCCGGTTAAGATGTTAGTCATGGGATGAATCAAGTTGCAGTTTTGCATTATAACCGTTATGTGATTGGAAAGTTATATCAACATTTAAGAGTAAGATCTATTGAAAGCAATTGGAATAAAAGACCGCCAAAAGATGGTAATCGCAGATGGTTAGTGTTTTGGATTTCGTTTTTAATTTGCATTTTCTGGAAAAATTACCTAAAGACATGATGACTTAAACAACAAATTTAACAATCTGCCTCTCATTTCTATTGTTTTAAGTGAATCTAACCATCTTTAAAAGCTGATCGCTATGAAAGTACTTGGTTCTTCTATAACAAATTCTTTTCAATGCAGCCGAGAAGGGGATGCTTTGAAGTGCGTGAAGAAGGTGGAAAGAAGTTCATCAGTCTTCTGGTAATCTCCCTACCAAATCTAAAGCTGTTGCGTTCATTAAAATCAAAATTTTGGTAAAATTAACTTGCCACACATAAAATATGTTATGCCTTTTCTTTCTTGATGGTATCAAAATTTTGGTATACTTAGATCTTGTAAGCATTTATCTTGATAATATTCATCAATAGAAAAAGTCCCGTTTTGAATAGCTCCAGTAGTTGTCACCATTTTCATTCATTACAGTTATTTGCCACTTGAAATCTTGATTTTAGATGGTAAAGCTGTCAAATTGATTACTTTGGCCATCGGGAATCTGATATTAAATGGATGATGTAGGATATGAAGCGGCCATTTGCACCGATGAAGGCTTTGGACATGGATGGTGTTATATCTGATATAGTTGAGCAGATCAAATGATATCCCATGTATGTACCCTAAATCACTTGTTGTTTCTTAGGAAGAAGAGGAAACCTGTTTTTGCAACCAAAATGAAATGTTTCCATTGCGTTTCATCTCCTCTGTTTCCCTATGTCCTGTAAGTTCAACAATTTGAATTTATCCAAGTTGCCCCGTAGCTACTATTTTGTGGGAAGAGGGACCATGACTGTTGGTTGGTTTATTAGGGATTGGACCATGACTGTTGGTTGGTTTATAGGGATTGGACCTGGACTCAGTCCATTTAGTTCCAACTGGTTAATGGTTATGGTCTGGTTAAACACTCATTGGTTGCTTTTTCCGAATTCTCTCATGCCATGTGTTGGCATCTGGTTGGTTACTGTTGATTTGATTGATGTTTTGTCCTCTCTTTTTTTTTTCAATTTATTTACAATTATGCCATTTCACTTGCTTACACAATTTCTGGTTCTCAAGTGAGGTCTTTGGCCTAGGATTACCAAGACAAGTGGGAGGATATTTTTGGAAACCACCCACAAATTGCCCTAGCCTTGAGATGAGTAATCTCTTATCCTACTTAGGTGACCATTACAAGAACCAATAATCTTACCCAGTAAGTGAGGGAGAAAGCTCTTATTTGAATAAGACTTGCCTGATAATTGTTTTTGATGGCTGAGAACGTTACCGATAAAGTGAGGGTGGTGGATCCATCAGGTAAACGTTTGATAGAATGGCTATCCAAAAACGAGTTGCATAAGGGGCAGACAAGCGTTTGAGGATTTACTAAATTTTGGCCACCATAACCTGAGATTTTAATAAATAACGTTAATGAGATACATCAAATCAATTTCTTTCTAAAACGCAATTCATGAGTTGGTTTAAGATTAAAAGTGATAAAGAAACCAAATCCCTTCTTACACTTGTCACTTTAACTTCTGTTTTCACACGATTCTTTGTTGTGTTATTATATATAGTTAACATATAATAAATAAAGTAAATAAAAACAGGATAGGTTAAAGATGAATATGTTATAATCAAATATGAGTTTTTCTTTTACAGATCAATTAAGAGCAAAATCGGTTCTAATACAATTGATTACACTATGAATATCGGTTGCAAACTTTTGTCTTGTAGATTAGTTAAAGATGAATGTGTTATAATTGATCACATTGTATTAGAACCAGTTCTGCTATATATATGGTTTCGTTCACATGAAACCAGTCTATTTTCATGATACCACTTTTTTACATTTAAAATTTTACAGCAAAACGCTTTGAAGGTAAAAAAAAGTCGAACCTTCATTGCAAAACGTCGTGAAAGTTACCTTCATAGCGTTTTGCTGTGAAATTTCTAAGTTTCACGTTATCCTAAGTCTCTCTCTCTCTATATATACATACACACATATATATATATACATACACACACACACACATATATATATATATATATACACACACACATACACACATATATAGAGAGGAGCAATCAAATGCAAACCATTCAATTTATACAACCATGCAAACCATCCTCCTTCGTCGATTTCATTGTTTAATCTTATGAAATTTTTTCTTGAAATTTGTTTAATTTTGTGAAATTGTTTCATATAATTTTTTTTTTGATGAAGTTGTTTCATATATGTTTATGAAATTGTTTCATATAATACTTAATGCAATTGTTTCATGTACTTCTTTAAAATTAAAATAATGAAGATGACAATATCCATGATGAACACCCTCCACACTAAAAATGATTAATCCACCTTTCATAATTACAAAAAAGTTATGAAAAATTATGATTGGTTGAATGTGGTTTGTATAACGTGGTTTGCAAAGTAAACTTCATATATATATATATATATATATATATATATATATATATATATATATATACACATTCCACGTTGACTCATGCGTAGGTCGTCGGGGGATTAAGAATTAAAGATATAATTTGTAAGATTTGTTTTTGATTCATTTTAAAATAAAAATTTATCTGAAGTTGATTCATTTTGATATAGTTGGTTGTATTTTCATTGCAATGATTATAAAGCAACAATATAACCATAAAGGTGATGCCTGATTGGTTTGAGCTTGGTTTAAGGTCAAAAGTACCTGGAGGTCCCAAGTTCAAATCCAAGGTGGAATAAAAATCCCCTTGTGGCCACGGATGTTCAAATGTGGTGGCTCCGGACTATTTACAAAGCAGGTGATCGCCTTGAGATTAGTCGGCTCGCATAGCAGGTTGAATATCCAAGTTAATAAAAAAAAATCAACAATATAAATAAAAGAGTAAAATACAAATTTGGTCCTTGTGTTTTTTCAAAAATAATATTTTTCATCCATATAGTTTTGAAATAACAAGATGACACAATTTTGCTTTGCAAAAACGTCCGGTTTTGATTCATCTTTTTAACGCTTGTTAAAAAAAATTAAATAAAAGGATGGGAATGTCTATTATTTAACAAAATTGGTTAACGATTGTTAAAGAGGGATCAAAACCTAACAATTTAACAAACCATGATGGTTATTTTGTAATTTTTAAACTATGAAATCAACTTATTTAAATATCTGTATAAATGGATTTTATGATGATTAAATTTTAAGGGAGAACCGGGAGTGTTGAGTGGGATGACCACCAATATGAAGCAAGCAACTTCCTGATCTGGTCCACATACAATTATTTCACATCGACGGTCAGGATGATATCATCTCAGATGTATGTAGGCCCATCAACATCCAACGGCCCATCTTACACCGCGTACTTAACGAGAGGAAACAGCATCATTTTAGTCGGTCTTCTTCTCCTCACCCTGCTAAAAAGCGCCTCCTTCCCTTCTCCAGTAAACCCTCCATCTCTCTGTTCCTCTTTTTTTTATTCTTCTTCTTTAATAAAATAATTCAAAATCATTACTTGATTCGTTAAAACCTCTCTATCCAAATCATCATCTTTCACTTATCCAAGATTGTTCTTTCTTTCTTCAAATTTTCAACTGTTGAAACATATACTTTTATTTTATTTTGTGGTTGATCAAGTTATCATGTCAACGACTCTAAATCCCTGCAAGCATCTTTCAGATTACAAGCTAAGATATGGGGTTAAAGGGTTCAATTTGAGCCAAAAGTGGGTCAAATCAGGCCCCTATGGGAAAACCCAGATGGAAGTATCAAAATCAGAGATACCCAGATGTAGTTTTTGTTCTGGGTATGAAGGTAGATTATACATCTGCTTGATCTGTTCATCAATGTCTTGTTCTTTATCTTTTGAATCCAATCATGCCCTTTTGCATACCCAAACTCAGATTGGTCATGAGATTGCTGTCGACCTTCAGAGATCTGAGCTTTATTGTTTTGCTTGCGCCGATCAGGTCTATGATCCTGATTTCGATAGAGCTGTTATGTGTGAACAGATTCTAGGGTTAGGAAATGGGAATCTTGATGGGATTAGATCTAATGGTAAGAGGAAAAGATTGAGTTTTGAGGTTGGATTCAATTCTGATTTCAAGAATCTAAAAAGGGTTAGTGGTGGTGGTGGTGAATGGGATCATGGAAGAAGGATATCAAAATCTTGTTTTCCGGTGGGATTAAGAGGACTTAATAATTTGGGGAACACTTGTTTTATGAATTCTGTGTTGCAAGCATTGCTTCATGCTCCTCCTTTTAGGAATCACTTTCTAAGTGGTAGGCATAACCGGGATTCTTGCCGGAAAACCTCTGCCGGCCGGTTGTGTTTATCCTGTGACATTGATATAATCTTTTCTGCAGTGTTTTCCGGCGATCGAGCACCCTACAGTCCAGCTCAATTTCTTTACAGGTCTTTGCCATTTTCTTGATTCTTATTGTTTTTATGACTTGATCTTGTTGAGATCTGCCATTTCATTGTTCTTCTTGATTACATTAAAGTAATATGATTATCATACACCTGCTAGATGGATAAGAAGGTACTGTCCTGTGGGAATTCTTGGTTTAAATGGGTTGTATTTTGATTAAATGACTCGGTTTCTTTGTAAAACATACAGATTTTGCCAAATCTTGATCGGTATAATGGTTTTTGTGAAGGAAAAATTAAACTGCAATGGTTAGAAATGTTCATATTTTGGGGGTTTTCGGGATTTTTCCAATTACAGCGACTGAGATTCATTGTTGTTTAAAGATACTGATACAATTGAACCTCTGTTTCGCTTGCAGTTGGTGGCGGCTTTCGGAAAATCTTGCTTGTTATGAACAACAAGATGCCCACGAATTTTTCATGTCAGTGCTCGATCGGATCCATGAGAAAGAAGGGAAAACAAGAAACACGAATAAAGGTAATTTTGATGCCTTTATACGGGTTAGATTCGCATGATATGTGTTCAAATGGTACAATTCGTAAACTTTCGTGTTGGTATGCGTATATCCAATCCTCTGACGCTACTTTTGTGTGAGATATACCGAGTTCATTTGGTCTGGTTTGCTTTGGTTTACGTGGTCTCTCCTGTTGGTGGTAAATATAGAAAATGCTTTCTTTGTTGGGCTTTTCGGGTTTTTGGAGGATCAACTTTGTGTAAAATTACATTCTTCGGCAGATTAATCAAAAGTCTAAAGAGACTTGTTGAGCGTTTGAAAGCTTGGAGCTATCTTTATGTGTCGTCTTACTGACGAAAGAAAAGCATTTTGTTTTCAACAGATAACGGAGACTGCCATTGTGTTGCTCATAGAGCGTTTTCCGGGTTGTTGAGATCAGATGTTACTTGCACGACCTGCGGTTTCACATCCACGACCTATGATCCTTGTGTTGACATATCTCTTGATTTCAACACGACGGTTGATCAATTTGCGGCTAACAAAGCACAGAAATCGACCGAAACTGGCGTATCCACACTTACTAGTTGCTTGGACCTCTTTACTCGGCCGGAGAAGTTGGGATCCGACCAGAAATTGTACTGCCAAAATTGTCAAGAAAGGCACGAATCCGTGAAGCAAATGTCGATAAGAAGGCTGCCATTGGTATTATGTCTACACGTGAAACGATTCGAACACTCGCTTGCAAGAAAAGCTTCAAGAAAGATCGACCGCCACTTACAATTCCCGTTCTCCTTAGACATGACGCCTTATGTGTCATCGTCGATCGTCAGAAAAAGATTTGGGAATCGAATCTTTGCTTTCGAAGGTGATGAATCCGAGATTTCCACAAATTTTGAGGTTTTTGCAGTGATTACTCACTCGGGTATGCTTGAATCCGGCCATTATATGACGTATTTGCGTCTTAACGAGCAATGGTACAAGTGTGACGATGCGTGGATCACCGAAGTCGACGATGAAGTGGTGAGAGCATCACAGATCTATTTGGTGTTTTACGTTCAAAAACCAAACAGCCACAAAACCGGTGAGGACGTTGGTTGTCATCTGAGATCTTCGGTTTCCAGCGACTCTTTCGTGTCGATCGCGGGCTGTTGCTGACATTATGGTACACGAACAAACGAATCGTGGAAGCTGGTACCTGCTGCATTGATGGTTGTACCTTAACTTCCATGGTTTGTTTCTTTATGTACCATAGAATTGGTGCAAAATAAGGAGGATTGAAATGGGAAGGATGAAGCCATCAAGTTTATTGGGTGTGGCTCCTAATCTAACTTCCTGTTTGTACAGAGTAAATTCTTTTGATGGGGAGGATTTGGTATTTTTTTGCAGTTTTCTAACTTTTCAAATTGATAATTGAAGCTTTTCTTATGTTGGAAGAGCTTATAAAAATGGCTCTTTAACCCATATCTTGATGGTTTTATTAGAGAATAATTATCGACCCGTAAACTCGTTGGGTCTGCCCCACACGGCGTGGTATGGTTGATTTTGGGAAGGTATACTTGCATAAACAACCTTGGGTTAGAGTCCGAGTGTGATCGTTGCAATTTCCTTCGGGATTGGGCTCTTTATGGACATTGGCTCTTGAGCCGACCATCTAGCAGGTGTGGGTTGGCTTAGGGGTTGCTGGTTACAAACCCTGTTGCACAAACTTGTCGGAAGTATATGAGAACGTTGGATGCAGAGATCAAGAGTTTTTTAATGGTATTTGGAATCCAAACTATGCTCTATGAATCAATTCCACATCAAGGTGGGTAAGGAAGATTGGCGACCGGTGGCCAAGGATCGAAACCGGTTAAATAAGGATCATATGTAAATGGCTGGACCTTATCAAACATATCAAGAAATTGACTGAATTCTTAACCAAATTCACCTTTTAGCCACTTTCAGAACTGAAGAAACATTTTAGCTAAAGTTGACTAAAATATCCGCTCGCTCATTGCTTCTAAAAAATATATTACTGAAATCATTTTATACTTGCTCATAGATGATCATAACAATCACTAATTGGGATTGGGGTTATTGAAGTGTTAAATAACCTTTTTAGTGCTTAAACATATTTATCTAATGACTTGAGTCGAAAGCATAAAAATGCACCATTTAATTGAGGGGCCGACTCTGTAACTCCATGCATACTATAGGGGGATCAAAATACAAAAGAAGCTCCAGAAATAGGGGCTGTTATTCATACCCCTGCTTCACTCACAGACAGACCACTATAAGAGCCAAAAGGGGGTATGAATAGAATTCACCCAGAAATAACCAACAAGAACATGCATCCATCCTACAAACAAATGGCATGAAATCCAAAACAAGTTTTAGCATATAGCATCAGTAACAAAAAGATGGTCTCATACTGCCTGTCTGACCTTGCAATAAAAAAAATATGATATAAATTCCTCTCCATCACCCCTACTATGACTGGGAGCTATAAGCTACTTTTATAGCTCACCAATAATAATAATTATAGAAATAAAAATGAAACTCATTTGCTGCTGCATTCAAAAGATGCATCTTGAGAAAGAAAAAAAAGAATATGGAACATGAATACTTTGATACCTCCAGAGATAAGTCAGCAATGTGTCAAGGCAAATCTCTTCACATGTGCATGAAAAGTGCTCCCAAGTTCATCACAGACTGGCAAAAATGATGAACTTCATCTGTAATGAATATGTTTCTCCCTTCAAAAATGAGTAGGACCAAATCCTCACTTCTTCTTGTTTCTGAATTTCTCCTTGAGCACCGTAAATTGCTTTTTGCATTGGTTAACTGTTTTCCCCGGAACAGCAGCTGCAACCCGTTCCCATCGCTGGTTAGCTTCCTTGGGGAATGTCTTTAGAGCTTGAATCAGTGCTGTTTCTTGGACAGCAGACCATACATCTTGATCCGAAGTTACAGAATTTTCCACACCATTTGCAACAATTTCATCGGATGCATTTTGGATAATGGGTTTCTCCTCAGCAGGAGTAGGATTGGAAGATACCCCCTCGATTTCCTCCCTAGTTGTGAGAGGAGACGAAATTGACACTGCTGGCTTTCTCTTGTCAAGAAATGAGTCAAATGCTTTTGTGGAATCGGGCTTTTGGAGAAGAACTGTTTTGGTTGCTTTGAGAATCTCCTCAACCGACCGTCCAGTGCCAATGTAATCTGATATGACCTCCCACCGTTTAGATGTTCCTTTAGGGTGCTTCACCATGCCTTTCCTCAAGAGCTCAATCTCTTCCTTCCCCCAAGGTTTCTCTTTCTTCTCCATGCTATTTTTAGGAACATTTCCGTTGACTTTTACAGACCCATTTCGTTGACTGTTTCTTGAAACATAATCTTTCACGGAGTGATCTGAGTTGTCATGATGATGACTAAGCGCCTCCTGGAGGAGTTCGGCTTGCCCACATTCTTCTCTCGTTTCCAAATTGTCACACAAGTTTTTCAATTTCAAGATGTCGAGTGACATGCAGAGATTTTCCACATCATCCTGACTAAGATTATGCAAACGCTGAGACACAACAGGAGTTGACAGAGTTCTCAGACGAGTTCGCTCTTTACGTAATAGTTTCTTCTCTTTTTCTTTGATTTTCTTCTGATGTGATGCAGCTTCAGCAGCTTGCTTTTCTGCTTCTTCTTTTTTACGCCTCTCTTCTTCAGCAATCCTGGCTGCTTCCTCCTCCTGCAATTTCTTTGCCATAAACTTGGCCTCCTTTTTCTTCTGTTTTTCAGCTTTCAACATCTCCTTTCTCCTAAGAACTCTAGGGTCTCTTTTATAAGCATTGTCAACAAGAGAGCGTACCCTTGCATATTCTTCCTTCCTAGCCTTCTCTGAAAGCTTTGCATTTTGCCTTTCCATCCATCTTTTATGGTCGCGTGATTCAGCTTGCTCAAGATCAAATTCATCAGCATGTGGGAACTCCCTCCAACTTTTGAAACCATACCAAAAATCATAGAAAGCATCGACATCTTTAAGTGGACTATTTTCATCTCCTAGTAAAGGTATAGGTTGAGTAACGGACCAGCGTCCATTCCTCAAAAAAGCGGGGCCAAATACCTTGAAGAAATCTTGTGGGGCACAGTCAGTGGGAATTTCATCATCAAACTCATCTGTGGAGTCATAAATTCTTCTCTTCACTGGGTCGATTAACACCTCATATGCTTCTTGAATTGCCTTGAAATGATTCTCTATCTCATCTTTCTTTGCTTGTTTAGAAGCTTCAGTTTCCTCCCCAAGAAGAAGAGAAGCCTGCTTGTCAGGATGATGCTTTAAAGCAGTCTCACGGTAGCTCTTTCTAATCTGCTCCTCAGTTGCTAGATACCTCAAATGACCCAAACCCAACAATGCATAGTGATCCTGCTGGTTGGCTCCATCACCAGACTTCTTTTTGCCTTTGCTGCTGCTATATGAATCAGATGATTGCATATACTCATGTTCTTTCTCTTTGGGCAAATTTTCATTATCATCCTCTATGTTTTCCTCCAGAAAACAACCACAGAGTTTAAGTGCAACATCATGAAAGGAATGCCCAGCAGGTTCAAAGCGTGAGGCCTTTACTGGAAGGCAATTTGAAGAAACATAGATTGTTTCTCCATTTAAAAGCTCATCTGAATAAGTGATCCGAAGAATGCTTGCTTGGGCTGTCATAATTACAGCAAATCAAGCATCCACAGCTTTGCAACTACATGACAATGAGTATCACATAAATCATGAGTCTAAAGATATAAGTTGAATAGGTGTACTAAAATAGCACCATAGCATATTCAATGAATCAAAGATTTATCAAACAATGTGAATTACATTTACACAAACCATAGCAGTCATGACATGTGGCACATACGATGACACAAAAAAATAGTCCTTTTTCTAGATCCAAGAAAAACATTTCAAAAACTAAAATATGCACGTAAATCGAGAATCACTACTGAATCAAGTAATGTAATTGACTTAACACAACAAAGAGACTAGTAGTATTTCATACATTCAGGAGTCTAAAAAGAAATACAAACCTATTGTCATCTCTAGATAAGTGGGTGTGGTTTGCTTCTAGAAAGGCAACACCTTTTCCACCAAGTCAGATACACTAGTCATGCTTATGCAGAGAAACTAGGTCATATACCAAAATCGAGAGAGAGGTACAATTTACAAAAGAACGTAAATATATTAGATAAAGTAAAAATGTAATATTGTTAGGATGAATAAAAGTAGCAATCAATCATTCTAGCAAGTATCAAGCTGTTAATTAGCACAATATATCATCCAATATTTATATATAAGCGAAGAAGGGACAACTACCTACTGCCATTTCTAAGGAGCGCCCATAACCAAGCCCAAAGATTGCTCAGCAAAGGCTTCACTCATACAATGCTATCTAGTGGTTTTTCATGTCCATTAACCCAAATACTCATTAGTACCTTCAAAACATTTGCTGGTAAGGGATGTTACACAAGAGAAGGGATTATCACTTGACCCTAAGTGAAAACTGGAAAACTCTACGTTGATGCCAAAAGAACCTTCCTAGGTGGAGAAAAAATTTGGGTCTATTTATTAAACCACATAAAAGAGCTCTTTGGCTTTGAAATAGAGCATATATGTTTCATTCTGCTCTATGGGTCCTACAAAATCAGCTCTGGGTTTACAATGCCTATCAATTACCTAGAGATTATCAAGACGCCACCCAACTTCCATGCATCACAACCAAAGAATAATTACAGCCTTCTACAACATATATGCTCAAGTTACTTATTGTCATTAAGAAAATACTCTACCAACTGACTAGCAGATTACAAAGAGCTACCGTGAACGGAAAGGCAGAATGCAAAGCTTTCTGAAAATTCTCGAAAGGAGGTATATAAAGGGAACTCTCTCTGGTTGGAAATGCTTATAAAAGAGACCCTCGAGTTCTGAAGAAAAAATATCTTAAAAGGCTGACAAGTAGAGGCCAATTTTATGGCAGAGAAGCTGCAGGAGGAAAGCAAGTAGTGTTTAAAAAAGAAGAAAAGCAAGCTGCTGAAGTTGCACCATATCAGAAGAAATTCAAAGAAAAAGAGAAGCAGCTTTGTGCCTCAGCATTTGGTTAATCTTAATCAGGATGATGTGGAAAATATCTAATTAAGAAACATATCTGAGAATATGGAAACAAGAGAAGGGTATGGGCAAGCTGTTCTGGAGAAGGTGCTTCTTATAAGCTCTCACAAACATCCACCCTTGATGAGCATTTAGCATAATTCGAGAAGCTCTCTACAGTGTGCTAATACTCAGCAATGGTGGATGTTTCAGAGATTACAAAAACCTTTGCTTAAAAAGTTTAATACTCATCAATGGTGGATGTTTTAGAGATTACAAAAAACTTTGCTTAAAAAAGTTTAAATTTTCAATTGACCATAGTAACCACTAATCCACCCCATTGGTTGGGCTTTTATGTGCAAAGTTTCATATGCATTTATACATGACAATACATTATTTAGAAATTCTGCTATTCATAAATCACGGCTGAAAGTTTAGCATGTAGCAACTTTAACTTATGACAATAGCATTCATACAATTACAAGATTTCTGTTTCATTACCTGAAAGACGACGAGATGGAGCGAAGGCGATCGAATAAGATATAGAAGTGTGGAATTAGGGTAGAAAGAACGAAGGAGATGGAGAGGAGAGAGCCACCAATTTGCAGTTTTGGGAGAGAGAGGCGCACAGAGATGTAAGATGGGAAAGAGAAAGATTTGGGGTTTAGGGTTGATAGCTTTTGGCTGCAAACCCTTAAAATTACATTTCCCTTCTGCATCCTTATTTTATTTTTAATTTGTATTAGTTTACACTTTTGGTCCCTGTGGTTATATGAAATTATGTATTAGATCCCTCAAGTGAAATAATTACGGAGATGGTTATTGTGGTTATGTTACAATTATGTATTACGACCATCAACTGAAATAATTATAAGGATGGTTATTTTGGATTTACTTTTACCACGTATTAAGTCTCCTTTGCTTACTCTGTGAGTGCACTTCTGTAAAGTGTCTTTCATGTAAGGGCATTTTTGTCATTTATCTTTTTTTTTATTTTATAGGTTTGGATGCCATTTTTACGAGTATGTAAAGCATTTAAAAGAAAAACTAAAAAGTTTCCCTTCCATCTCTAGGCCACTCCTTTGTTTTCGACCCCCTCCCCATATTAAAACTAAAGCAGTCCCGATCAAAACCCAGTTCCTAAAAGAGGCTCATGACGAATTCCACGACGAATATAGTAGGAAGTTCAAGATTTCTATGCGTTAAAGAGAGTATATAGGGACAAAAGGAGTGTGTGTTTGTATATGCGTTATGTAAAAAATAGAAAAATGAGGTAATTATAAGAACATCTCCGATAAAAGGTGCTTATAAACAAAATTTGTAATGTCTTATAAGAACCACTATTGAAGAGAGTTTCTATAAAAACCTTACGTTCTTTCAGTATTGTATAAAAATCTGGATTCTTACCTTGAATTTGGTGTAAACTGACATTTTGTTAGTTCTTTTAGTTAAATATTTGATATTTATTATAAATATGTATAATTAATGATGTTAAAAAAAGTATATAGGGTTCTTTATTATAAAAAAAAGAGGTTCTTATAAGAATTATTACCGTGAGCGTTTATGTAATAAGTCCAAAATGCAGAGGGTTATTTATAAAAACCAACTTTGTAGAAGATTTTTATAAGAACCTCATCTCCTTTAAGTTTTTATACAAAAACCCTGATTCTTGCCTTGAAGTTGTTATAAAATTACAATTTGCTAGTTCCTTTACATATTTATTTATGAATATATAAATAATTATTGATATTAAAAATACATGAGACCAACAAAAAAACTTTTTATAAGAATTACTATTGTAGACTTTTATACGAATTCTTAATTTGATGGGTTGGAAATATTTTGACAACAAAAAATACAAAAAATAAGTTTTTGTAAGAATTCAATTAAAAATGCCCTAATATGATAAATTAAAAGTAATATGAGAAGAAAAATAGAAAAAATAAACCACAAAAATGTTGTCTGATTGGTTTGTGGTTGAGTTCCAATAAGAAATAAAAATCCTCCTTTAGTTCAAATTCCGTGACTTCGAACTACTCATAAAATAGATGATTGTCCTGAAATTAATCGGCTCGCTTAATGGGTTAGAGATTCAGGTTAATAAGAAAAATACAAAAAATGAATTGTTACAAGAACCGATCTTGTAACAACCATTAAAATTTTACCCTTTTTGAAGTGAAACAGCAAGTAGAAAAGAAAAGGAAAAATTGTTTGCAGTAAAACCTCCACCGGAAACCCTCCAAGAAAACCAGGATTCTGGTCAACAATGGCATAACATTTTTCACCTACTTCCTGATATTTTCAATAATTCACCATAGATTTCCTTGGAACTTTCACCATTTTATCCACAAACATGAAAGTTGGGAAGTTGAGCCATTCAGATGTGATTTCAGCAATTTTCACAAGCTGCAGCTTATTTACATCCATCTGAGTAGATATTTTGAAACATAAAAGATCTGTTTTTTTGCAGGTAAGTAGATATTTAGCACTAGAAGATGGGTTAAGATGATGGATTGCAATCACTAACCAAAACCCATTTCATAGATTTAAAAGAACCCCAGAAGACAGCTCCAATCAGATCCAAGATCCACCCACATATGGGGATCGTTGACTTTGACTTTTGAGGTTCCTTCAAAGCTTTCAATACTTTTTGAGCGATGTTCACATCTTTAGAATAAATCTTGAAATACCCATTTGTGGAGAACACTTTCTTAAAGTTGGGGGAAAAGTTGAATGAATGATGGTGGGAGAAGGCAAAATTCAAGAAACCCATAGCAGGGAAGAGCAGCAAGTTGAAGGGGATGAAAATGGAAGCCCAAAAAGAGGGATCTTGATGGGATGTTGTAATACTATCAGGGCTCCAATTGATTGGTTCAGAATGCTATCAAAGGAAACACATTGGAGTCTTGTGGGTGGGGTTGTGGCTGTTTATGGCATAAATCAAGGATTTGGTGGAGCTCTTGCTAGAGTGGGTACAGAATACTATATGAAAGATGTGCAGAAAGTCCAACCATCTGAAGCACAAGCTTATAAAGGAATCACCAACATTCCATGGATTATTAAACCTATTTGGGGTCTTCTTACAGATGTTGTTCCCATTTTCGGGTATCGCCGGAGACCTTATTTCGTTCTTGCTGGTAACTATATATGTATATATATTGATATGTATATCTTTCCATTCCCTTAGTTGATTTCATACCGAGTTACTTAAATGCTTGTCCATTGATTAGTTTTGCAATATCATATCAAGTTTACCTCAATTAGATATATGCAGCATAAAGTTCATATTGGTGACTACAAATTACTCCTGCATCCATAGATAAAAGTAAAAGGTCTTATCTTTTGGTACATTTGCAAGCTAGAATTAACTTGTGGTATTGGTTTTGTTTCAAAAGATACAGTTTTTGTCATTCTTGAAGGGCAGTAATGTATGGATGTTTGACAGCAAAATTTCATGGGCGAACCCTTTGGGGTCGCTCAACTGGTAAGACCTTGGGTTTGCTTCCTAGAGAGAGTTTGCCGACCCCATGCGCTTAGCAAGATTTCGAAACCACAGTGAAAGGGATGAAAATTTTACCACCCCTAGTGAATACGTATTTCATACCGAGGGTGGGATTCAAATTCATAACCTCTAGTTCGGCTGCATTTTTGTGATTCTTGTATAGAATGGATTAGTTTCTAACACTTTACGCTTTAGTTTTCAACTTAGAATCTTGATGGCACTATAGATGTAACAGAATTCATGTTAATTTTGAACTTGTGAAGTAATACTAGTTGTCACCAGAAGTCTTTCTGTATGAATGATTGATTTATTAATCAAACTATTTGGAACTTCTCTTCAGGTATTCTAGGAATTCTATCGATGTTTTTCTTGTCGTTCCACGAAAAACTGCATATTGTACTAGCATTGGTGTGTTTAACAGTAGGAAGTGGTGGAGTTGCGATAGCCGATGTGACAGTTGATGCTTGTGTGGCTCAGCAGAGCGGTATTCATCCTTCTCTTGCTCCAGATATGCAAAGCTTATGTGCCCTGAGTTCATCCATTGGAGCTCTAATCGGATTTTCTTTAAGTGGTGTCTTTGTTCACCTAATTGGTCCGAAGGTGGCTTTCTTTTTCGTCTTACAGATCCTCCATCCCATGTAAAGTTGCAACACGATAATATCTATCAAGTTAAACGTTGCAATTTCCATGGGACGGAGGAAGTATATGACTTAGGTAACTTAAGTGCTAAAAGAACCGTCTTTTGCATTGAAGGGAGTTTATGGGTTGCTAAGTATACCATTTGCGCTCGTGTTGCTAGTTGGCCTCGTGCTCAAGGAACCTCACTCACCGAGCTTTGCTTACAGACAGGTACATATATCGCTACCCTTTTAATGGGTCGGATCTGTTAACTGTACTCATTGCTTCTTTGCACACCTGTAAATGATCCAATAGATCATGGTATGATCGGTGATCAAATATGCAATGAGAATGGATCATTTGTCTTTGTTGATCTTTTAACATACGAGCAACTATGGATTCCGCATTGTATTTGTTATACTTGGAAAAAGATGTATGCTTTTCGACTCTATTACTTCTAGAACTGATACTTACTTGTGTATCAGATAAACGAGAAATTTCTTGACGCTGCTTCGGCTATGTGGACTACTTTGAAATGCCAAGATGTGTGGCGACCGTGTTTGTATATGTATCTCTCCTTCGCGTTGAGTTTGAATATCTACGAAGGCTTGTTCTATTGGGAAACAGATTCGAAGGCCGGCCCATCTTTCTCCCAGGTATTTTCTTGTATTTTAACTGTAAGTACAATAAGTCATGTCTGCATACAACTCTCCCACCGGACCCCACCTTCATACTTGGCTCGTTTGGTCTGGTATGGTATTTTGACCATCAGTATCGTGTATGCAGGAGACTATCGGTTTCATATTATCGATTGGCTCGGTTGGATCCCTTTTAGGCGCGATATTATATCAATATGGTTTAAAGACTCATCCTTTCCGAGCTCTGCTATTTTGGACTCAGCTGTTTTTCGGCTTGTCGGGAATGCTTGATCTTGTCTTCATACTAAGACTTAACCTAAAACTAGGATTGTCCGACTACTTTTTCGCGGTTATTGATGAAAGCGTGTTCCAGTTGGTTGGCCGTTTGAAATGGATGCCGCTACTCGTCTTATCTTCGCAACTTTGTCCTCCTGGCATCGAAGGCACGTTCTTTGCTCTGCTAATGTCGATCGACAATTTTGGACTCATGTCGTCGACCTGGTTAGGTGGGTTACTTCTTCATGTCTTAAACGTCACGAGGACCCAATTCGACAACTTATGGCTAGCTATTTTGATTCGAAACGTGCTTAGAATCGTACCTCTCGCTTTCCTATTCCTAGTGCCGAAAAGTAGTCCCGAGTCATCGGGCTTTTCTCGTATGGAAGTATTGAGCATTTTAGAAGATGGTGAATCTCATATAGAAGTATCGGGTATTTTAGAAGATAGCGAATTGTCGAAATCCGAGGAGGTGGAACTTACGCCACTCGTTAGTAACATTGGTTGAACTCGGGTTTCGGCGACCTCAATATAACGAGGTTGGTATAGGTCTCAAAACATCGAGAAGAATTCATTCTTTACATATCTTGTTACAATGATTCGAAGTTGCATACGAGATGAAATTTTTGTTGTCTGTTTATCGAGAAGACAAATAACATATGTGTTGTATACAGAGTTTTCTGAGTTCGAATCTAAAACGCTTATCGACGATAGATTTTAATGGCTGAGGATGATGCTCTTGTCTGTAACCACTTATCCAACAAACGTTTGGTAAACAACCTTAAGCAACTGAAACAACTTGCACAATTAATGTAATTTATTGAACGAGCCTATAGGAACCGCACGGTTAATGTAACGGTTTTATAAGATTAAAAGGTCTATTGAGCTTCTCATGGCTATATCATACTCAAGATTCTAACTAACCTGAGGCATGACGTGGCCATGAGGTCAAATCTTAAGCTTTAACGAGTTACGACGAGCACACGATGTTTTCCGCTAACCATTAAAAAAAAATAACACTAAAATAATAGATTCATTGAATACTAAAAAAATCAATTTCAACCACAAAGTAAAAACCATCTTTAATAATATAATAATAATAAACATCTTAATAGTTAAATTTTTAATCAATATATAATTATAGAAACTTAATATTATATTAATATGAATCGTTTAAGAATCCATTAAATTGTGATAACTATGAGAACTTGTGCATCAATGTATTATTTCATATGATTTTTTATGTAGTCATACTATTTAATGTATTGATTAATATATGATTTATTTCATAATGTGTTTGTTTCATATGAATTCGTTTCACCATGTGAAATTTTTTTACGTGTATTTTGTGTTTCACAAATACATCAAAAAGGTTCACATTATGAACCGAACACATGTGAAATAAATGTATGTTAATCAATATTCTAAATCCTAGTCATAAATGAAAAAAAATACATATGAAATAACATATGAAGCACAAGTTCTCAAGGTTATCACATTTCATGAGTTCTCAAAAAAAGGTCCCCTATATTAATTTATATATATATATATATATATATATATATCCTACCTTTTTGACCTCCAAATATAGAAGCTAACATTTTTTATAGTGTTGAATGGGAGATGAAAACACTACAATTTTTTGTGTTTTTAGTGTTGGGTAGAGTTGTTCACGGGCGAGACAACCCATTAGACCTGTCTTATCCGGCCTGCTAGAAAAGTGGACTTGGATTACCATTCTCGAATAAATGGACGTGTGTTGTCTGGCTTGTTAAAATTAATGGGCGTGCATAAGTGATGGGAAAAAAAATTGGGCAGACCCGTTTGGCCCATTAATATTTTTATAATAATTAACTTTTATAATTAAAATTTACAAATTAAATTAATTTTGTTTATATTTATCAATTTTCCCACTTAATTAGAAGATAATAACATTCTTTAAAAATCTAAAGAAGTAAAAACATAATTACCTCAACTAATTAATTTCTTATAATCTCATTTGGTCATTTCCTTTATCCATACTCCATATTTTGCAAAACACTTTTTTTTTCTAAATTATTTACATTGTTATGTATTTACATTTAATTTTAAGTTTGAAAAATTGTTTTGTATTTTGAATAATTTTACATAATTTATGATTTTATATTAATTTTGTTTTCTTAAAATATAAAAAGATTTTAAGGCTCATTAGCCCCTGAACAAGTCTAACCTGTTTATAGGACGAGTATGAGCAAGTTTTCAAGCCTGTAAATTCAGGCTTGAGTTTGACATATTAGACTCGTTGAATAAAATAAATATAAACTAGCTTGTTTTTCAAGTATACGTTTTGATGAACATACATATAACTTATTGAAACGCTAGCTGGAGTAATTTATGAGGAGCTTTTTATCCTTTATTCTAATTATAATTTTCATTAATATTAATTATTGTTTATTACTATTAATTAAAAATAAATATCAATAGATAAAAATAAAAATAAAAATTAATTATTACTGATAT